GATGGGAACGACGTTTTGAGCTTTTAACGTTGCTAATTGTACTTCTAGATTTCAGAAAAAAAAATGTTGTTCTAAAATATCTTCCTTGCATCCCGAGTTATTTAAGAATTTTATTCATTTCCTATCTTCCGGTTTTTTTTTCTCACTTTCTTCGTGCATAGCACGGAATTGAGTGAAACATTAATCTCAGCGTATCTTGCTTTTTGATATCTAAGCGTCCTTGGATGGCGAGAACAACAAGTAAAAATGGAAGAATTTCAATTAAAAATGAACAGAATATTACTGCGAGGAGAATTTATCGGATGGACTGTGTCGATGCACCAAGAGGTATGTTTTACAACTTAAAACAAATAGATTGAATTTTTTCATATATATATATATATATATATATATATATATATAGGTAAGTCAGTATATGCAACCAAATAAGTAAACGCGATATACACTGAAAATTAATCGCCTTCAAGAAATATTACCTGTGATGATATCCATGGGTAATTATCTATGGGAATGTTGAGTGTTAACGAACATGCCCTCTGCTACAAAAAAAGAGGATTTTCTCATTATTCAGTAATAGAAAAAACAGCTTTCTAAATATGACCCGTGGGCAATTCTATAAATAAAAAATAAAATCAGTCATCATATACATGTGTGTGTCTCTGGGTGTGCGTGTTTATATATATATATATATATATATATATATATATATATATATATATATATATATATATATATATATATATATATATATATATATATATATATATATATATATATAAATATAATAAATAAAAAAAATAAGAACTAAGACAGTTCATTATACGCATATGCGTAAAGAAATGTCTTAGTTATTTTTTCGCACTGTTTATAGATATAGTTTTAACTTAAAAGCTTCTCGGTTCACAACGATCTTTACCTGCACACAATGCCAAGGGTCTTTGCGCGTAAGGGAATATATCGAACACAACTGGAATTGAAACTCAGTCCTCCGATTAACAATTCTGGCCAATTATCCATTACATAACCACACTCACATGCAAACTGGTATTCCTAATCCGTTACCCATCTAGGCGGTGACCAGACTCACCGTTGCTTATATTCGGTGATCGTAAGGGAACAGGTGTTTCAACATGTTTTGTCCATATATATATATATATATATATATATATATATATATATATATATATATATATGTGTGTGTGTGTGTGTGTGTGTGTGTGTGTGTGTGTGTGTGTATGTATGTATGTAGAAAGAGAAAAATGGAGTATAATTAAACTGTACATAACATAAAGAGCTCAATACGGAGTAGGGATAAATATTATTTATTTTAGGATATCAAAACAAAAACATGTTAAAAATCGCTACACAATTGCAATTATGTTTTGACACTACATATGTGTCTCCTCGGGTGATGTTAAATTACTGGCTAGTGAACGATTAATTCAATTTCAAAAGCTGAATACTTCCTTTTTCTCTTATAGAAAAAAACAAAATGAAAATAGGCTTGTGTACTTTACTGTGATTAACCAATCCAATGTGACCTGCTCTAAATTCAAACACACCAAAAAAATTAATATAGGTCATGGCATGAAGTTGTCAGCATCCTAAACAATTTCTGCATGGACAGATATAAGTGGTTACATTATTACATAAGGTGCATAGAAGTAAAAAATGCATAATAAGTAAAAGCGAAAGTGGTAGGTAGGTAGGTAGGTAGGTAGGTAGTTTAACACAATGCTAACCAGTTATATGCTCGTTCAGCTTCTTACCTAAAATTTTGTAGTTGACAGATAAAAGGCCTATTTTAAAACCGTTAGATAAATTAACCGTTTGAAAAAAAAAGTTAAAAAATGCAGAAGTACTTTGGCAAATTAATATGCAACCGTTAAAAAAAGAGCATCCATAGAAGATGTTAATAATACTATATAAACATCAATACAGAGCTATATTAAATCAAAATGAATATTAAAAAATAGGGTAGTAAGCCATATAAGGTGCACCGATGTTCATCTACTTATAATTACAATAAGAAAAAGTATTATCAAATTCAAAGTTTAAACATATTGTAAGGTATGAGATAGACTATACTTTCAATTTACAATTAATTCACTTCTTTGGTTTAATAAGGAGAGTTTTAATAGAAAATCTGATAATTTCTAATTTTGCATGGAGGCCTAAAAACCAGGGTTCATTTAAAAATATAGCTTTTTTAAAATTTCCCATTTAACTTAGGAGATTTACTAGCTTCTTTTAAATTCCAAAAATAGTTAGAAAGACATATACTATTTTTTAAGTATTATTGGTGAAGGATAAGATATGTTGATACTACCTAGTCTTAAAAGAATTCTTAGTAGTACCAATATAAAATTTTTCATCAGTCGTACTCTCTATTTTAGAAATAGTACTTAAACAAGAGAAATGGTTAAGCATTGGTTTCGTAATGGGCGTTCATTAGAATTCTTGCAATCATATTGGTTAATATTATCAACAGTATTTATCTTAGAATACGCATTATTTTCCAAATTTTCAAATTGATTTAAACTTTTATTATTGTGTTTCTTTATGAACTTTTCAAGACTATCGGTGCAGCTAAAACGTAGTTTTAGTGTGTTTCTGTTAAATATTTTACTAAGAGCGTTACGTTTAGGGTAATGTTTATCAATTCAATAAAGGAAATTCTGGCTAACTTAGTACTGAACACTTGGTTATATATATATATATATATATATATATATATATATATATATATATATATATATATATATATTGACCATCTTAATAAAGTATTTACAAGCACACTAAAAAATTAAATATATATATATATATATATATATATATATATATATATATATATATATCAGTTTACTTAAGCCATAAAAATATAACGGTATATTTTGTTTACACTTAAATATTTAAATATATTTTTCAAAATTATTATATTAATTAATCTTTGTTGGAATTAAATTTATCCCACTAGGTGTAGATCACTTTATTCTCTATTAACTCGTATAGCTCTTGCTTTTCCGGTGGTGATATTATGTTTGAGTTCAGTTTGAGATTTATTACGGAGATTTGTTAGATCAGTGCACTTTCAATGCATTTTCTTCTAAGTGATTTTTTTTTCTTTTCTGATCAAACAGACATATATTATGTCAAATTGTATGTGTGTGTAACATTCTGATAATCCACAGACGGACTTAAATTGATCTAAAGTTTTTATTGTATGCTTAAGGAAAATGGAAGCAAGAAAGACACTTTTACTCAGAATAAATTGAAGATTCGTAAAGACATAATGAGGAATGAGGACTTGAAGAATTTGACACTCACATCACATATCGAATGCAATAAAGGGAAATGGGAAGGTAGCAGCTTGTGTAAAGAGATGGCGGAACGAGAGGAGTCTTTGCAAATATTGCTCAGGGGTTGACTTCCTAAAGGGAAAGGGTACAACGAAGAAGAAGAAGCCTTTCTACTTTATATTTTCTTCAGAACTTCCTTTTGACATTTTTCCCGTTCATTTCTGGTTTCTCTTAATCATTTTACATTAACTTCAAAATTTCTTGACACATTGATCATGTATATTTGACACCACTTATATAGATATCCACCATTAATTCTCACCTTTTTGTGGTGACTGGACTTCCGTATCCCAGAGATATAATGAGCTATACTGATGGGAGCATTATTCATAACAGGTCCAAGCAAGCCAGGCAGCTCCGGACGTAGGGATCAGACTAAATGAGTACCCCATGAAGCCGTAGGGTGTAGCAGCCTGGTTTGCTGATTAGGTTGAAACGTCAATCTCAGTATCAATTTACGATCAGCTGTCAGTTACACCCGATGTAGAAAATACCAAGATTTATAGGATAATTTAGATCCCAAAGCGAATCACTGACACGACTATTATAATGGTAAACATAGTGGGATTGGATATGATTTGTTGGCCTTTTAAAATAATCAAAACTAAAACAATCATTCGGTATTTTTCATCACACTGTCCAACAAGGTGAGTGTTCTATTGATATAAGGATGACTGGGGAGGACGTGGTCATAAATTAAACAAATCCGAATATACTCGGTATGATGATGATGAGGGGGAGTATGAATATATAGATGATGAGTATCGGTATAAATGGTAATGATAATATTTGGAATTCATTGACTGAGTAACCAGTGTTATGAATAATCAAGAAATGTCACCCTTTGTTTTGTTACTCTCCTGTTTGAGACAGCTATTTCTGTTAAATTGAATAAAGCTTTCTTAAAGCCTACACCTGCGTGCTTTTGTCATTACAGCGGGCTTGGTTCGGCAATTAGTTGGAGATTCGTCTCCAGCTAAGCTAGTCGAACTCTCTGCCTTCGAGCGGAGAGGAACCCAGTCGAGGCTATGCCGAAGGGTAGAGTCTCGTCTGGGGAGGCAGACAGCTACCCGACCCCGTTTTTTACGGGGGCTAAGGTGATTTTTTGCCACGGTTTTACCCCTCGTTAAATAATGGCCTTGTATCACATCCTACCTAGCCGGGGTGGTGAGGCAAATAACCTTTTGTCATCACAGTCAGTATTACTCTCGGTTGAAATATATAAAATATTACACTTAAAAACATTATTTCAGAAAAATAAGTTCCTCAACTCCAATAGCTTTTATCGCTCTTTCCAGTATTGATGGCGCTTTCCTTCCTAACTTTTTATTTGAAATAGTGTGGATGTAAACGCTTAATCATGTTACATGTGATATCCATTTTAGTTTAATATTATACAATATATAGAAATAAAATGAAAATCAATAAAATCGTCTCCATGCAGGAACAAACCATTGAAGAAACAGTTTTTCACAGTTGTGCCTTGATAAATTATTACAATTCGAAATAAAACTTTCTGATTGGTGAAGTTGTTTTCTTTGCCGAGAAATCCAAAATCAATGACAGCGACGACGTCATGTTGCTTCAAAATACTGCTAATTATTAATTAGAGATATTTTGTTCTTTTATTTGTGATGAGATCTATTTTGATGGGAGGGTGCTTTTCGAGGGAAAAGTGATGAAATGAAAGGTGTTAAGAAGGGGTGGGGTAAAAGGATAAGGTGCAGTAACTGGGAGAGGGGAAAGAGAAAAATATCTGGGGTAATGAAGGGTAATTAAGAAAATAGGTCCGCTGGGATTGGTTGTGCGAAGAAGAAGAAGAAGAAGGAGGAGGAGGAGGAGGAAGAAGAAGAAGAAAAAGGAAGGAGAAGAAGAAGAGGAGGAAGGGAGAGGAGGAAGTAGAAGAATAAGGAGGAGGAAGAAGAAGAAGAGGAAGAAGACGAAGTGGGAGGAAGAAGAATAAGAAGGGGAAGGAAAAAGAAAAAGAAGAAGAAGAAGGAGGGGGAAGAAAAAGCGGAAGTAGGAGGAAGAGGAAGAAATAGGAATGAGAGAAAAGGGAATGATGAAAGATAGAGGGGTGATGAAAAATGGGAAGAAAGAAATGAAAACGTACGAAGATAAATGAAAAAAATAACAATAGATAGAGGAGAGAATAATAAAGTATAACAAAAGGAAAGTAAAGGAAGAATAAACAGAAAGAATAAAGAAAGAAGGAGAGAGAAGAAGAGGAAGTTGATGCGTGGAAAGATGAAAGAAAAGAAGAAGAAAAAAGTGAAAGAGGAAAAACAGTAGCATAAGGGAGAAACGAGAGAAGGAAATAAAAAAAAGGAAATTAGACAGGGGAGAAAGAAAGAAAGAAAGAAAGAAAGAAAGAAAGAAAAAAGAAAGAAAGAAAGAATACATAAGGTAGAGAAAAAGAAAAAGGGAGAGTGAAAAAAAGTGAGAGCAAAAAGCAGAGGACGGGGAAGTAAAATAAAGGGAAAAAGTCTAAGGAATGACGAAACGAAGAAGAAAGGATCTGATGACTGAATAAAGAAGATAGAAACGTAGAAAAAAAGCAAGTGAGGAAAGTAAAAAAGAAGTTATTATTTGAAATTAAAGAACAATAGAAAAGAAATGAGGAAATCAAGACAAATGGACAGAAAACGCAGAAAAAAGAACAGAAACATGGCAATAAAAAAATCGAGGAATACATTAACAGTTAGAAACTTACCTTGCAATGGATGAGATCAATGATTCCCAACTTGGGGTGCATGGTAGTATTTTGATGGGGCATGTGTAGGATATGCACCCTTCGGCTTATGATACCAACAGAATAAGTGGGAGTGCATTTCGAGAATGAGTTATTAACAGTGAATTGTTTTAAAATTTCATTTTGCATTATTATTTCATGTTTAAAATGATCAAATTATATTAAAGAATAAAGCTTTCACTATATATTTTATTTTTCAGTTCTCTATTATATGTTTTGAAATTATATATATTTAACTGTCTTTTCGTTTTTTTTTTTTTTTTTAATTTTCCTCTGTCATGGACGCCATTGTCTTTGGAGACTTGTTTAGAGACCAAATTAATGGCCTTATAAGCTTCCTTCACGTGAATTGAAGTAAAATTCTAAATCTGTAAGAATTAAATATTAATTGGCTAGTGGCAACAGAATTTTCAAAATACCAAAGTCGGTCACGGCCTAAAATCAGTTGGGAACAATTGGGTTAGATTCATAATATTATAATGAGAGAAATTTTCAGTATTCGCCTTCCATTGTTTACGGTAAGCATAAAACTACATATTGAACAGGTAAGTCTTGTAAAAAATATTAATATTTCTGTAAATATTCCAAAAACGGAGAGGATGTGTAAAACAAAAAGGAATAGTCGACGAGAGAGGTATCCATTAGTCCGATTATCCGGCGAATATGCTAACAAACAAATCATATATTTATATAGATTTATATCATCTGACTATATTTCTGAGATGAGGTATTATGTACACTATCTACAATATTCGGACTATATTCTCATCTTTGTTGCCATGTTTATTACAACCTTTCGCCCGTTGTACGCTCCGGCCTTCTTCAGATGGTTGGAATGTCGAACTGAACCCATTATTTCGCTCACTGAGATAGACTGTTCTAGTGCCATGTTTTTAATGGATGTCAGTTATCAGTTATCTCCTGTTAATTCCCCTCTCCAAGTTCTCCATTGCCTTACACTGACACAGTGGATAAAGACGTTGGATAAATCCAGTGACAGGACCCAAAGAGTGTGAGTTCAATACCCGGCTCAGAGAGAAATTAACAGGAGATAACTGATGACTGACATCCATTAAACATGGCACGTGTAACTAGAACAGTCTACCCCAGTGAGTGAAATAAAGGGTTCAGTTCAACATTCCAACCACCTGAAGAAGACCAGAGCGCACAACGTCCGAAACGTTGTAATAAACATGGCGACAAAGATGAGGACAATAGTCCGAATAATGTAAATAGATTTATAACATCTTTTTCCTGTAACCAAATATCTTACGCGTCTCCGGCTTTCTCTACCCTTCTAGCATTTTCCAAGCAAACCTGTATTAAAAGATAAAAAAGAAAACCAAATATAAAATAAACGATATATTTAGATACAATTCGAAACATTCTTCAAGAGCTAAATTCTTAAAACCTCTGAAACCAATGAACAATTAAGGGATGTTTCATAGAGAGAAACAAATAATAGCTTAAATCTGAATGATCTGGAGAATATGCTGCATGAAAAGTAGAAACACCAATTTCAGCTTGATGACATACACGTATACAATCAATCAGACTACTTACTTATATAGAAATAAGTGTTGTGATTTTTTTCTGCTAGAGCATGTTGCCATGAATATTCAGTGTAGTTACTATTAGTAACAATTTGTATAAGTTCCAACAATTTCTTAATTTCTTTGAATCCAATAATTTCTCCACAGGAGATTCTTTTTAGGCTGACATATTAAAGAAAATAATTTCAAAGCTCATGTGCTGATTCTTCAGTTGCCTTAGGAGAATCGTGCAAACAATAATTTTTGAAAAATATATTTGACAATATAAACCCATGCTTTCTTTTCTTATTGAAATGATGCATTTCAAAATCTAATATCAAGATTTTTGTCAAAAGATTTCTGCAAGTTTTCAATTTAGCATCACTAAATAGTTTAAAACAAAAAAAAAAACACAGAACTCCAGGAAATCCAGGAAACTTTTTGAATTACTACAATCTATTTTTTAAAATTTTCATATTCTTGAAAATAAAAAGTTGTATTAATATTAAATATTTCTTCTTCTATTGGACAATCTGTTTATGTAACGTAGGCTGCTAAATACAAAAGTGGCATCTTAATGATTTTAGAAATCCTAGTTTCAAGATCTTGTAAGTTATTAAATATTTGACATGACATTTCACCCAACACATATCCACATTTTGAGCAATAATCATCTGAATGAAATTTATACCAACATTAATTTCAAGTAATTCAGTTTTTTCAATATGAAATCCTTCGTTGACTTTATACATTGTTATAAAATACGCACTGATCTATGATTTTTTTTTCTTTTTTAATATTCGGAAACTAGAATGCTTATATGAAAAACTATTTTGAAGAAAATCTATTTCTGGTCACAGTGTTTATTCTACAAATTCATCGATAAATGTTATATCTTTTTATATTTATAAAAGATGGTAAAAATAAAATTCAACATACTTTAAAAAAGATTTAGGAAAAAGAAAAATTATTCATAAAGAATAAATTTTATATTCATTATGTTTATTGTTATATTAAGAAATATTAACATTATATGACAAAATTCTTAATGGTAGTTCTCTTCAAAACAGCGTTCATTAACTTGGATCAGTTTTAATCATTGATCTGAAAAAATAGCTGAACAAACCTTAGTTTATCGGACTGAAATATATTTAGTTTTAACTTGATTTCGTTGATAAATGTTAATGTCATGTCCCTTCAGGACGTAGACGATCATAGCTCTCAGCAAGTTCCTTCTGTGAAATACCACACTTTATTCGAAAAAATAGTGGAGTTATATTCCTTTAGCTTCTACATGCTTTGGCATTGAGAATTTTGTTTTCTTAGACTTTAAAGCTCAGTCTACCTTACTATTTAATCCATAACAGGGGAAGAAGTGGATTCATATCATTCTCAAAGACATATGTACGACAATGAAGACAATAGAGTAGCCCGGATTTGAATACGGACCGCTGAATCTACTTTCGGCAACTGCAACTCTTCACTAGACCCATATCCTCGTAGATAATTATCAGTTTTGTGGAAAAATAAATTCTAGTTCTCAAACATGAGAGATAATTGGGACGGCAAGATTTAGCATAGTGTAGAATAAAAGGCAAACATTTTTGTAGAAAATAAATGTTAGTTACAGATAGGGAAAAAGAAAACGAAAATATCGACAAAGGAATATTTTTTTATGAAAATAATAGTTATCTTGAAAAAAAAAAGAGTAAAAATTAATCATGTGGAAAAATTTCGGGAATTTTTGAGCGGGAAACACAGCAGCGAAAATCTAAAACAGTAACATCGAGATTAAGAACTAACCTATAATCTAAATACCAACTCTGACACCAAACGTATTATATCTACTTACACTTATGTAAATAGATAAGATAAATACGAGAGGCAAATGAAATAATAAAGTAAAAATCTCTCAGTCGAGCGTTCAAAAATATATCTCCATTAACTTATATTTTCCTGTTTGTATTTTTTTCCTTCTCTTAGAGACGTAAAATGACATATATCTCCATTAACTTATATTTTTCTGTTTGTATTTTTTTTCTTCTCTTAGAGGAAAAAAATGACATATATCACTATTAAATTATTTTCCTGTATGTATTTTTTCCTTCTCTTAGAGACGTAAAATGACATATATCTCCATTATCTTATATTTTCCTGTTTGTATTTTTTTCCATCTCTTAGAGAAGTAAAATGACATATATCTCTATTAACTTATAATTTCCTGTTTGTATTTTTCCTTCTCTTAGAGAAGTAAAATGACATATATCTCCATTAACTTATATTTTCCTGATTGTATTTTTCCTCCTCTTAGAGAAGTAAAATGACATATATGACCATTAACTTATATTTTCCTGTATTTATTTTTTCTTTCTCTTAGAGAAGAAAACTGACATATATCACCATTAACTTATATTTTCCTGTTTGTACTTTTTTTCCTTCTCTTAGAGAAGTAAAATGACATATATTTAACTTTATCTTTGCATACCTTAAATATAAATCCTATGCAAAAGCGACTTTCTAACTAAAGCCTTTCGGAAAGTCATGAATCGGCAATATCTCCTCTATCATAGATGAAAGTGTAGGGTATACTAGGCTGTTTAGCCTTGGGTGGTAGCCAGTTTAATAGAAGAATATCTCTTAATTCCACACTGTAAACACGGAAACGAGTTATCGACCACACTATTCGCCCCCTCCACCACGAAAAAAAGGGGATGATGGCACTTTGTAGATAATAAAGTAACAGAATCTTTGGAGAGCCATGATGGTAGTTACATTTTAAAAAGATAAGAAAAGCAAATGTATTTGTTCAATGTATTATTTCCCATATAAATCATTCGAGATATTCACGTTTATCTTCACAATTAGCGTAAGTAAAACAGTGAATTAATCGAATTGATAATCAATACGTGTGAATTAATATTACAGCACATTGCGTTTATCATTATTTAGAGCTATTAATTTTTTTTTTTTTAGAAAATTCATTGAAAGTTTCTCAGAAATATTTGCACTATTAGTGTTCAGGATATTTCACATAATATGTATAAATCACAATAGTTGACATACTGTTTAGAATAAGGCGAAATCTTTATAGATTTCACAGACCTTTCCTACCTACACTT